TAGTAGAGACGGGGTTTCACCGTGTTGACCAGGATGGTCTCGATCTCTTGACCTCGTGATCCACCCGCCTCGGCCTCCCAAAGTGCTGGGATTACAGGCTTGAGCCACCGCGCCCGGCCCTAAATTTTTTATTTCTTCTTGAGACAAGGTCTTGCCGTGTCACTCAGAACTGCAGTGCAGGGACATGACCACTGCTCACGGCAGCCTTGACCTCATGGGTTCAAGTGATCCTCCTGCCTCAGCCTCTGAGTAGCTGGCACTACAGGAACACATCACAGCATCCAGATAATTTATTTTTTGGGTAAAAACAGTCTTGCTATGTTGCCCAGGCTGATCTTGAATTCCTGGCCTCAAGTGATCCTCCCACCTCAGCCTCCCAAAGTGCTGGGATTATAGGTGGGAGCCATCACGTGCAGCCCATTTTCTTGACAGGACCCTTTAAGTTTTACAAGAAAACACGAAGTGTGAAAGCAGTACCTCCCAAATATGCCCGGCCCTCCAAATGCAGCTTTTTTTTTGAGACTGTGTCGCTCTGCCGCCCAGGCTGGAGTGCAATGGCATGATCTCAGCTTACTGCAACCTCCGCCTCCCGGGTTCAAGCGATTCTCCTGCATCAGCCTCCTAAGTAGCTGGGACTACAGGCACACACCACCACACCCACTAATTTTCTGTATTTTCAGTAGAGACAGGGTTTCACCATGTTAGCCAGGATGGTCTGGCTCTCCTGACCTTGTGATCCACCCACCTCGGCCTCCTGAAGTACTGGGATTACAGGCGTGAGTCACTGCGCCCGGCCAAACCCAGCTTTGGAAGAATCTTCACTTGTCCTGGCTGGGCCACCACCTCAGCTCCACCTAAAATTGGGCTGTTCTGGGTGCTCTCTTCCCCTCTACACTCCCCAATGGGCCCCTTTCTGCCTCTCCATCCCTCTTTTTTTTTGAGACAAGGTCTTGCTTTGTTGCCCAGGCTGGAGTGCAGTGGTGCAATCATGGCTTACTGCAGCCTTGATCTCTTGGGCTCAAAAGATCCTCCCACCTCAGCCTCCCAAGTAGCTGGGACCACAGGTACATGCCACCATGCCCAACTAATTTTGTGTTTGAGACAGTTTCACTCGCTGCCCAGGCTGGGGTGCAGTGGCTCGATTTCGGCTCACTGCAAACTCTGCCTCCTGGGTTCAAGCAATTCTCCTGCCTCAGCCTCCAAAGTAGCTGGGATTTCAGGCACCCACCAACACACCCGGCTAATTTTGTATTGTTAGTTGAGATGGGGTTTCACTATGTTGGTCAGGCTGGTCTCAAACTCCTGACCTCAAGTGATCTGCCTGCCTTGGCCTTCCAGAGTGGTGGGATTACGGGCGTGAGCCACCGTGCCTGGCCTGCCCAACTAATTAAAAAAAATTTTTTGTAGAGACAGGATCTCACGATATTGTCCAGGTTGGTCTTGAACTCCGGGGCTTAAGGGATCGTCCTGTCTCAGCCTCCCAGGTGCTGGGATTACAGGGGCCACTATGCTCATCCTTATCTTCTCGTCAGGGAAGATTAGCTGTACTCCTCTCCACCATTTCCCCAGGGCCCCAGACACACATCGCCACGCAGGACCTGGGTGGGGAGTACGGAATTTATTTTATTGTTTGGCGTCTGGGTTTGGTTCCTTGGATGTCATGGGGGTGGGTGTGTCCCACCTCCCTAAGTCATGGTCCCACGGGCCTGTCAGGATTGTTTTCCAGGTTCAAAGTGCACTGAGAAAGCTTCACAGTTTTAATACTTCCTAGATGCTCAACTGAGGCAAAGTGACAGAATGGCCCTCCCACCCCTGCCCGCCACAAAAATAAAACCCCAAGCCCCTGGCAGCTGCGGCTGCTGCTGCAGCCGTATGAAAAAATAATACAAACTTTTCTCTTTTTTTTTTTTTTTTNTCTTTACTCAGAGGTGGAATTCTAAGCAGAGAAGCCAGAGGCTGTGATATTCAACATAGAAATACTACCCTAAAGTTCCTGGCACCAAAAATATCACAGTTACAGGCAGCCTCTGGAAATGGAATGAATATTCCATTATTTCTAACCATGGTTAGAAAGATGCATCAGGCTGCAGAATTTTCATCAGGCTGTCCTACTATGAATAATGTCATATGATATATTTTTTTTTTTTTTTTTTTTTTATAGATTTCTTCTGACTGTGTCAGTGAAATCTGACATTACAATAAACCCTTGACAATATTCAATATGGTTTAAAACAGTGTTCTAAGAGAAAATAATACAAACTTTTCTCTTTTTTTTTTTTTTTTCTTTGCATTTTAGTTTGGGAACAAACTCTTCTTAAAAAATAGATTACACAGAAAAAACGCAGAGGACAGAGGGGCATGAGGAGGGGCAGGGAGCCTCGGGGGAGACCCCGGGAAGGCTGTGAGATGACCGCAGGGGCTGAGCTGCTGGCGGACACATGCCCTGCCTGCCGTGCCCGCCGTGCCCGTCCTCTCTCTGCCCGAGCCGGCTCCTCCCCATCAGCTCCGGCCCGGGCACCGCAGCTCCAATGCTCCCTCGAGGGACCCCCTTCACCCTGAGGCTTGGTACCTGCTTCTCACTAAAGTGGCTTTGAGAAACAACCAACCAAAAAAGACCCAAAGTGAGAGAAGGGGCTGTTTGCTCAGCCGTCGGGGACCTCTGCCCCACAGGATCAGCCCTCTCTCTGCTTTGGGGCTTTGGAGAATCCTCGATACTTGTTGCTACCTAGACACCCCCTGTGGGGAAAACGGACCCCAGACACCCCATTTGGTTCCTGGGAACACAGACACCTGGGAACCTGGCTTCTGCCCTGACACGCGCCCTCCCATGCACCCAAACGAGATAGGGGGCATGGCTGGGAGGCTGCCTCTCAGCCCAGCCTCCGTGGAGCTATGGATCAGACAGGCGGCTGGGGCAGCGGCGTGTGGAAAGGGGCACAGCTCACACAGGCCCTCCAGCTCATGCAAGGGGAAGCGAGAGGGGACAGCCCTGCCAAGACAGAGGTTACAGCAGGGCGAGGGGATGCTGTGTGTGTGCAGCTGGGCCGGCTCCGGGGCCGGGGCAGAGAAGGCAGGGGAAGCGGTCCACGGGGCAGGAGAAGGCAAGTCAGGGCCTGGCTCTGGGGAGAAGCCTGGGTCCCCACTGTCCCAGCTGAGGGCCACCTCCTTCAGAGGAATCTGGCAGGGGTGGATTCTCTGGAGGTGGGGACGGGGGCGGCTGAGCGGTCCAGCTCAATCGGGGACCTCGGGGTGGGCAGGCAGTCCGCTCTCGCCGCGCCGGTAGGTCTCCCAGAAACCCCTGTCCAGCTGCTCCAGCTGAGGGCCCAGTGGCAGGCGGCCAGCCAGGTGCATGTGGAGCATCTCCAGCCAGTGCTCCAGCTTCACGAAGGACGGCCTGGGTGACAGGCGAGTGGGGAGATGATGGGTCTGGCTCTCCTCGGAATCAGCCCCAGTGGACCCCCAGGCCAGAGCCCCACCCTACTCACCTCTTCTCAGGGTCCAGATCGCAACAGTGCACAGTGATGGGGAAGAAGCTCGGGGGGCAGTTTGGGGGGCAGTAGCGGTCCAGGAAGCCTCGCACGTTGAGGCCAAAGTCCATGGTACGGGGCAGGTAGTCAGGGTCCGCGTTCACCCGCCCGATAATCTGTCCGGTACAAGGACCCAGTTATTCCAGGGAGGCTCTCAGCCCGGGCGTCGGGGTGCCATCCAGGTGGCTTGAGGGCAGGCGGCACTGGGCCTGGCTGCAGTCTGACTGGGGCATCCCCCGAGGGTCAGCCCATGCCTTGCTGCAGGCAGCCTTCCCGGCCTGAGGCCCCTGCAGACGCCGAGCCTGCAGCCTGGGTGAGTAGGGACAAGCCCAGGCCTCAACACCACTGCGACCCACCCTGGACCTACCTCGCACAGGACGATTCCGAAGGAGAACACATCCACCTTCTCGTCATAGCTGCGGCCTGGACAAAGACACTGACTGTCAGCAGCTGAACACACAAGGGTGCCAGGGATGCCAAAAGGCAGGGCACCAGGCCAGCCGGGAGGATGCCCTGGCTGGGAGGTCAAGGCCCAGGAGGCAGAGGCCGGCAACCTCCGTGGAAACCCAGGCTTACGCTCTGTCCCCCAATCCCACGGTCTGAGCAAGCCTCTGGGAGCTCGGAGGAGCAAGGGGCAGAGCCCTGGGCACAGAGTTCCTGGCCCAGCTCAGCCACCCATCAGCTGCGTGACTCTGGGCAAGTCGTGAACTCTGTGGTGATCCTGAAGGGCAACCGTGTGAGGTCTCTGGAATCCGTGAATGCTACTGGGTTGGAAGAGGGGTCTTTTGCAGATGGGATTAAGTTAGTCTGGAGATGAGATGATGCTGGATGATCTGGGGGGGCCCTGAATGCCACTGCAAATGCCCTCATGAGAGATACACAGAGAAGACACAGCAGCAGAGGAGGAGGTGGGCCTGTGAAGACGGGTGGAGTCTGGAGTGATGTGGCCACAAGCCCAGGAATGCAAGACAACCAGAAGGAGGAAGAGGCAAGGAATGCTTCTCCCCCAGGACCCCCAGAGGGAGCGGAACCCTGTTTGATTTCAGCCTTCTGGCTTCCAAAACTGTGGGGAATGCATTCTGCTGTTTATTTTGAGATGGAGTCTTTCTCTGTCGCCCAGGCTGGAGTGCAGTGGTGCGATCATGGCTCACTGCAACGTCCACCTCCTGGTTCAAGGGATTCTCCTGCCTGAATTTCCTGATTAACTGAGATTACGGGCATGTGCCACCATACCTGGCTAATTTTTGTATTTTTAGTAGAGACAGGGTTTCACCATGTTGGCCAGGCTGGTCTTGAACTCCTGACCTCAAGTGATCCGCCCACCTCGGCCTCACAAAGTGCTGGGATTACAGGTGTGAGCCACTGTGCCCGACTATTTTCTGCTGTTTTAAATCATCAAGTTTCTAACAATTTATTACAGCAGCCTCAGGAAACTGACATGGACTCTCTAAGTCTCAGTTTCCTCATCTGTAAAATGGGAATTACGCTTGCCACTACTTAATGAGGTTAAACCTTCGGTACATGGCCAGTGGTCTGAGACCAGTCTGGGAAGCATAGTGATACCCCGGCCTCTGTGAAACATTACAACAATTGGCTGGGTGTGGTGTTTTGTGCTGGTGGTCCCAGCTACTCAGGGGCCTGGGGCGGGATGATAATTTGAGCCCAGAAGGTCGATGTTGCAGTGAGCTATCGTGGCACCACTGCACTCCAGCCTGGGCAACCGAGCAAAAACTCTGTCTCTTCAAAAATCAAATCAAATCAAATAAAAGGGCCAGACGCAGTGGCTCACACCTGTAATCCCAGCACTTTGGGAGGGCAAGGCAGGTGAATCACGAAGTCAAGAGATCGAGACCATCCTGGCCAACATGGTGAAACCCCGCCTCTACTAAAAATACAAAAAGTAGCTGGGTGTGGTGGCAGGCAGCTATAGTTCCAGCTTCCCGGGAGGCTGAGGCAGGAGAATCTCTTGAACCCGGGAGGCAGAGGTTGCAGTGAGCTGAGATCGTGCCACTGCACTCCAGCCTGGCGACAGAGTGAGACTCCGTCTCAAAAAAAA